TGGCCCTGCCTGCTGCACAACACGCCGCCCGCGCACCCGCACTGGGCGCTGCAGTAGCGCCATTGCGAACGTCTCAGTCGGAGAACCGAATAAGTTTAAATGTATGGCTTTCTCTCACTTAATGACTCTTAAAACCTGCGCGTAAAACGATTGTCTAAGTTTCCAATGAGGATAAAATAGATTTAAATTAGTATCACGCCGAGAAATTATTTATTAAACTATTATCAATTATGCCACCTTTGATTATTTCCTCGCTATTTACCACAGACGTTTATAATAAAGCTCGTTCCAGTCGGTGAAGGTGCTATTGCTTTTGTAATTTATTGATTTATTATTTCTTTTAAAACATGTAAAAGTTAATTGGACATTTATAGATATATATAGATATACAAGTATCTTTTGGCAGCCGACAACGTTTTGAAATAAAAAAATTACATTTAATGTCAGGGTAATAGTGACATAGCTTGTCAGTTCACTTCGCGTCTTTATTTTTCGCATTTGTGTGGTTTTTTAATGTTATTCCATGAAAAGTGTTTAAAAGTAGTATCAGGGTGACATTATCGAAAGTGGGAGATTTTTTTATCGCGGAAAAGAAGTAGGGGGGTGCACTTGAATCATCTTGTGTCTGTTGTAACAAAAGTGTGATACCATTTCCTCAACAAATTCCCTATTCCCAAGGGGACGTATTAAATAATAATTGATTCATAACTGTGTAATTAACCTTACATGATTTAAATAAATAAAAATAAAAAATATATATTTTTATGATAGTTCTTTTATTACCTATTCATTTCAAATTGCAGTGACCGAACCCTTAGTTGTAATGTGTTTTGTGAAACTGGAAGTATTCCTTCGTGACATTAAATAAACAAGGATTTTAGTTTTTACCGATTTTCTAGTTACATTGCAAGGTACAAGTATTACCTTTACAATTTGCGTTTCTTTTTCAAAAGGACAGAATTTCCCTTTAATGTGGACGTATTACCTTGCTGGTAACCCTAGATGCTCAGAGGCGCCATCCTGTCAATGTCAGAAGGTGCCACAATATCCTTACAGGACTATACATACAGAAGCAGATCTCCATAAATGAATATTTTATTGCTT